ACACACCCATGAATTTTAAATAATCCAATTATTGTTTGAGTCATAACCTACTACCAAAACATATTGTGTTATGCATCTGTAGTACATTCTGAGAATATTCCAGATTTATAAAACTAACAATTTCTTGCATCAACCCCAGCTGTTACTGGATGACTATTTAGAAGTAATTATAATTTGTTTTAATCTAAATGAGGCAAATAATATCTTTCATAGTTGTAAATGAAGAAATAACCAGAAACTTTTTTGCAAATCCCTATGGCAGCACTATAAGGGTATTCTTTGCTGCTCACTAACCCATTTTATTTTGTATATTAACCTTCTTATGGGTGTGTATTGGTGCAGCAATCTACTACTTATTTGGTCTGATACCTCTACCCACTATGATTTTTTTATAGCACAATAGGCTTCCATTGAATTAGTAACAGAAAATGCCCATCCATTAAATGCCGTTCCTTAATCCTTTACTCTCACATAGTTTCTCCAATCTACAGCTTATTAGATTATTGGAATATTCACATTTTCTTTAACTTCAGGATATTAAAGTTTTTTCTATTAAATTAGAGCAATAAGTTCTTGATGAGTAAGAGTCATAAATTGATTTTCCCCCATTTAATAAGTTGTATCATTTTTTAAGTTATATTCCTCAATCATTTTCTTTATAGAGTAATAGATTTCCATTCTGTACATTTTTTCACTATTAGAAAAAAATTTATTATGTTTTGTAGCCCAATTTTCAAAATCAGATTAATTTTCACTATTAAAGTATAAATGTTCTGTTATTAATACCAAAGTTATTAGAGCTGCTAAAAAATATTTCATTTATAATTAATAAAATTTGATATGAGTATTTTTTGTTTATAAATACAAATTTTTAGACATAAATCTCGATATTTTTCGATGCTTATATAAATTATCACTGCTTTTATAATTTAGTACATAACTTAAAATTCTTAATATATTGTATATCATTATCTATTAAGTCTTTTGGATTTTTAGAAACACAACCTAAAATTATTCTTAAACTGTGCAAAAATTTCTTTAGATAAATTTTTATAAAGAGCAGCTTTAATTATTACTATATTAGGATAGGTCAATGCTTTTAATTAACTTATTTTAATCAACATTATTCAGTTTAATTGTAAAGCCCTTTTCTTTTACTTATCTAGCTAAGAGTAATATTTAATTTACTATTACTATTAATATTAAAATAAAAATTATTCAAAATTAATTACATTAAATCTATAATTCATTATGTGTCACTATTTAGTTAATATTTAGAATAACTTAAAAACTTTTCTTAAGAAAAAAATTAAATTTATTTAACAAAGTTTAATGATGAAATTCAAGAGTCTAGAAGAGCAAATCCAGCACTAGGAATAGAATTTTGAATATTTTTACCAATTAAATTTTGATTTACAAAACTAAATTTCTCTATTTCATAATTTTAATAGTTAAAAATTACTATTAAGGCATTTTAGTCTTTGCAGAGTAAGAAAGCTTAAAATTGAAACAGAATTATAATTTCTCAAAGAAACTCAAATGAAAAAATTTATTTTTTTTACATAAAATTAGATTTTGAATCAGAGATAATTTTAAAACGCAGAAGGAGGTTTATATGAATCTTTAGCAATGAAGGATGAAGGAAAGGAATTAACATAAATTTTAGGATGGCCATAATTATAAATATAATTTGTTTTATGTGTAAAATTATTAGAAATTTGAAATTAATACTAGATTCTCTTTAAAGTTCTGATAAATTTTAAAAGATCTTAGAGATTAATAATATAAATAACTAAAATATTAATAGAAATCGCTTGAATAGTAATTGCAAATGAATTTCTAATAGTAAATATCTGCAATAATAAAACAATATAGACACTTGAAAAGGCTACAAGAAGCATATCAGAATTATTATCATAGAATAGTTAGACAAACTTAAGCATTAGCCCATCAAAAGTTCAGAAGACAGATTTATTTATGGTAAAAAA